AGGACTATATTAATAGAGCAGTCCAATCTTCAATACATCCAAAATATTAAATTGCACAAATATTATACAATTCTTACATAAAATATACCCAGAAATGTTACTTTTCAACTGGTAAATAATCAACTACTGAATAACTCTGATTTTAATTCTTTCAAAACTACACGACCACTTTAAACTTATTTTTCTTTCACTAGCTATTACTGATTACTGATTTCATATTATGTAATTATTCATTCTAATTAGTAATGTTAACAAAAGACTTTTTTGTTTTTGTTTTTCATTTTTATTCTCAACAAGATTTTTTTAGCATCTTTTTTTCTTTTCGGTAAAGCATTCCCTTCTGTAAAAGGTATTTTTTGTAAATAGCTAATTCAGAGTTAGTTCAAATTTAAATAATAAGTTTTGGATTTCCATGTTTATTTTTTAGCAAGTGTGAAAGCAATAAAAATTATGATTGCTTTCAAGGGGAACAAAATTTCTTATTCTTTCTCTTAGTCTGTTGTTATAGATTTTAGATGTTGTCTTCTATAAATTATACCTTGAAACTGTAAGTTTAGGACCATGACTTTACAACACAAACTATCATGAAATATCTCTTAGAGTTACAAAAGAGTTGACTCATTCAGAATTAAAGTTAAAATAAATCCCAAGTTCTAAACCTGAAAAACAAAACAAAACAAAAAAAACCCAAACAGCTCTGTGGTTTTAACTGAAGGACAGGGCCAAGCTTGCAGGGAGAGAACTCCAGAGGTGAGTGGCCGGCAGAGCCTTGTGAGCTGCGGTTGGTAAGGTGGGTGGTAGATGGGCGGGGGCTGGGTGCGGGGGGTTCTTCACGTGGAATGACAGTGGCTGGGAAGGCTCTAAAATTCTGTGGGGTGTGCCAGGCAGTTGTGGGATGGCGGGATCGTTCTCCAGTCCCTGTGAGCTTGGTCTTGCGTGCTCATGCAGGCTTGCAAGGGATGAAGCTGGAGTGAGTCAGGCTCTGTCATCGCAGAAGGTGGGCCCAGCAGGGCAGGTAGGAGTCCCCTCCTAGGAGATGTGGGCAACGAGGTGAACATGCCACAAGCCCGTCAGGGGAGCATGCATGGGTGGACCCTGCTGTCGGAAACTGGAGGCAGGGCTGTCCTTGGCGCTGGCTGCAGAGGGGTGACTCGGTGGAGCTGAGTGGACATCTAGTGGCTATCTGGGGAAACTCTCTCTCTCTCTGCATCTTTTCCGAGCATCACCAGCTTCTCTTAGGACTACAGATCATCAGAGCCTGGGCAGGGGTGGCTCCCTCTTGGGACAGCACAGCCAAGGCCTTGCCCCACACCCTCCCTCCATCGGTTAATTTGTTAATGAATGTACTGAACATTTGTGCCCTTGATAAATACCAGGCCCTAAGGAAAGAGGCAAAGTTCCTGCCTTTAAGCTTAGGTTTCTAGTGAGAGAGAAATGACCAAAATAGCATGTTAGATGGTGGTAAGCTATGGAGAAAAGTCGACTGCAGTGAGGAGGAGGAGGTAGGAGGACGTGGTGGGTCGAGAGGTAGCGCTTTAGGGGCTCCGAGGGACTGAGATGTCAGGGCTGGAGGAGAGGGGGGGCCCTGCTGGTGGTGGCAAGTTCCAGAGGCCCTGTAGGGAGTGCAGGGTGGCTGTCACAGGGCTCTAGTGTGGCTGGAGCCCAACAAGGAGAAAGCGGGTGTGATGTGGGAGAGGCAGGAGGGGCTGATTGCTCTGGTCTGTCCACCCCCAGGAGTTTGGATGGGATTCGAAATAGCAACAGGTGGCTTTTCTCCTGGAGGGTTTTGGCTGTGATTTCCTTCCAGAGGGTCACTCTGGCTCTCAGGCTGCTGTGAGGGGAATGGATTGTGGGACTGGGGAGATGTGGCCAAGGGCTGCTGCAGGGGTGCAGGTGAGGGGCGATGGTGGCGGGGG